AAAAATTATACCTAATAAAATAAATCAGATCAAACGGATTAACTATTTAATCTTTTCTTATATTTATCAGCTATGAACATAACGATACAAGCAATCGGTATTTCAAATTAATAATTATTATCTGCATACATAAGTACTTAGATCCCGGTATTATAAATAAAAGCTATAAAAGTCATTCAATATCCCGACGTTCATCAGACCTAACTGGCTGGCTGGCTTGACCGGATAAAGTTATTAACTTTAGTAGCAATAATAATTGCTATTTTAATTTTAACTAAGAATCAGTTTCGCTTGATTAGTCACCGCAGTATACTCGTGTCTGTCCCCAGTATTATTAACTTAACTTGTGAATTATCAAGGTATTTGATTACTACGACAGCAATGAAGCCATTAGTTTTCTCAATCGTAGCTGCTGTTTTAATTGGTAGCATTTCATGCTCGTGGCGGGATCCAACAGGTGAGCCTTACTACGGACTTACTCATATGCTAGCTACGGACTGCCTTAAACCACAACTTATATTAAGGTCACATGTTAAGTTAGTACCTAGAGTTATACTTCTAGAGTTAAGAAAAGAATGACAATGATCATAATAACTATTATAATGAACTTAGCTGGGTACTTACTATTATTATGGTAGCATTCAAAGAACAAGAACATAGAAAGAGGTTTCTAATTACTATGTTCTGTGGTAGCAACTTAGATTATTAAAACCTAGATGGATAGTCTTCATACAAACGCTTCGTCAAGAGTGAGGCAAAAATCTTATGTCATTAGTGTCAATTTTGTTGGGGAGTGTAGACAGTCAAGGCGATTTTCCCGAAAGTAGGGAAATTTTTAATAAGTTTTTAATTATTTTATAACTAACAAAAACAAAACGCATCATGTACTTATTTATTTATTGAATTTAAAGTACCTACCTAATTACAATAAGATAAATCGACTGAAAAGTCTCGATTTCATAAAAAAAGGAAGTGTATTTGTACAGCGAACAATTGGGAAATAAATTTTCTTGTTACTGGTATCATTCCCGTATTTAATTTTTGAAAGCCAAATTCAAGCAAAATACGCGTCGAATCGTAGTACTTACTTATGAAATGTAACACTGGTCACTTTCTTTAGTTTTTCTGATGTATTTAGACACCCTTTCACAGCACAAACCGTCTTAATTAATTAAAAGTCGTCGGACGTGTTTACCAATTTTTCACTTTGACAGTTCATGTGACGTTTACGAGTAAGCCATTCTGGCTTACTAAAATCTGCCTCACCTTTCGTGCACTGACTATCTATCTAGGTTTTATTAATCTAAGGGTAGCAATCAATGTTTTAAGGGTGGGTAGCACCAACTTACTTCAACTTTGACAAACGTCATACAAAAAGCACCGGTTATCGTTAATAGTTACCGTTAAAGTTAGGTGTGTAACTTATGCACGCACAGGGTAGAGTATCGGAGGAACTTCATTTGAAAGTTGGTGTTTTATCGGCAGAGCCACGCGCGCTGGCGGTGACCGGCAACCACACGGGCGCGGGCGCCGCCGACGTCGTGCAGCTGCTGTGCGAGGCCAGCGGCATCGCCAACTACACCACGCTGCACTGGGTCCAACAGCAAGGTAGGTACATTTTGTTCTTGAGCCTCTACATGTCTCATAATCTTTTTACCCTACCAGCGCTTCGAGTCCAAATTGCTGAGAAGAAGCGTGGTAAGGTTTCTTGCCGCCCGAACCCGAACAACAATCGTGAATCCCACCAAAAACATTTTCATTTAAAATGTCGCCGAGTCGTCTTGGCGTCGTAAGGTGGCACTGTCATGGATGATTTATTTATTATAACATCAGGATACTTAGGTACCTACTTCATTATAATGCAGCGTCAACTAGATAATTCCGGAGACCCAAACGATAGAAGTAATTCTTATGAATGTGATAGAAAACTTAGTTGTTCCGCAGGCGACCTGCAGCACACGACGTGGCGGCGCGGCCCCAGCCCGCTGGCGCTGGAGTTGCCGGCGGCGCAGGCGCACGGCTCGGCCTACTTCTGCACCGCGCCCTTCACCGAGTTCGTACGTGCCTTCCACAGATGTCCCTTCGCTTGCACAAGCAGACTATCTCAAGTGTAGTGGCTGAATGTAAAGTAACTGCATATAACCAATGTAATATGTAACACAGCTGATCTTTCTCATGTCGTGTCGACAACAAACCTACACAGCGTCAGCCCAAAACTCCGCCACAAGAGTGGAGTTGTTAGTAGCCATTATTAAATCTTCCTGCGTGCAGTTGTTTGGGCACGCAGGGCACGACATCATGTCAATCATGTGCTTCGTCGACTGGGGATCAAGACCACACTTGCTCTCCTGCTGATGAAACACCGAGACGTAAGGTAGTCTTCAGTGCATTCTAGAAGACTAGAAGTATTGTTAGTCGTACCTTAACATTGGAATGATGTGAATCTAATTGCGTCCTCGATGCGGTTTCAGGGCGTCTCATACACGACGTACACGGTGCGCTCGGAGCTGACGGAGGTGTCGGTGGCGGGCGCCGACGCGCCCAGCTTCCCCGCCAGTGAGTATGCGGCGCGCTGCCTGAGCTGGTGCGCCAGACATTGCTGGACTGGCTTACTGTCATAATATGTGCCTATTTCTGCCCATTTTGGCGCTAAAGGCCACTGTAGGCAGATACGATTGTCTATGGAACTAAAATTAGTGATGTTCTTTCTCACTTACTCCTATGATTACTCCATACTACAAAATTAGTTCTCGGGACAATCGTAGTGACGCTTCAAATTCATCATCATCATCATCTCAGCCATAGGACATCCACTGCTAAACATAGGCCCCCCAATGCTTTCCATGCTGCCCGGTTGGTAGCGGCCTGCGTCCAGCGCCTTCCTGCTACCTTTATGATGTCGTCGGTCCACCTTGTGGGTGGACGTTCCACTCTGCGTTTTCCGGTACGCGGCCTCCACTCCAGATCCTTGCTGCCCCATCGGCCGTCGGTTCTGCTTACTATGTGCCCTGCCCATTGCCACTTCAGCTTGCTAATCCGTCGGGCTTCAAATTGGCACACAAAATTAGCTGTTGTTTGTGCCAAGTGCCACAACTGTACTGCTGCCGCTCCGCAGGGCCGGGCCGCGTGGAGCTGACGTCGTCGGGCGGCGACACGCACCGCGTTGGCGACCTCGTCACCTACACCTGCACCGCGCACGACTTTCGCAGCACCGTCATGGACGTGGTCCAAGCCAAAGGTGAGCTTTGGGTTAGATATCACTGCAGCAAGTAGGTAATGCAGATAAAAAATAACTAAAAAAAGTTAAATATTTCGCTCAAGTTTAGGACCTCAAAGGTGCCTTGAAAGATTAACCGCCGCCTCTGTGGTCTAGTGGTAAAACCTGCTTCAGACGCAGAGGTCCCGGGTTCGATTCCCCGTGGGGGCAGATTTTTCTGTTCGGTTTGGTTGGTGGTATGGCTTGTTCTAAGTCCGCCTGGCTAGCTACCACCATCTTACCTAAGTCTGTCGCCATAACAACAATGTCGGCCTGATCATCACTTACCATCAGGTGAGATACAGGCCAAGAGCTTCCTCGTTGTGGAAAAAAAAAAGTGAATTTTCGGTACAACATACCTTTCGGTAACTACCTACCAACATACAGGGTATCCCAGAATGGGTGAATCAAACTGATAGGGGAGGTAGCTCTACTAATGTACTATCCCTAAAAAATATGAAAAAAAAATAAAGCGCATAAGGAAACAAAAAAAAATGTTTTTGAAAAAGTGAAAATAAATCAGCTTTGCCTAAGTATCTGGCTATAATTGCTGCGTTTGGAGTTTATTTGTACTTTTTTCTCACTAACATGATCGCTTCGTTTATCTGTAAACAAACTTATGAAAATAATGACTAGATTTCGAGTTTAGAGCACTTTATTTTAAAAAAAATTCGAGCTCAAAATTTTTTTTTCATATTTTTTTGGGATAGTACATTAGTAGAGCTACCTCCCCTATCAGTTTGATTCACCCATTCTGGGACACCCTGTATATTGGTTGACCTCGCAGACCAGTACGAGATCCAGCTGCACACGGGCTGGCAGCCGACGCGCGCGCTCACGCTGAACGTGACGGCGGCCGACCACGGCTCGGCGCTGTACTGCCGCGTCACCAGCACCGACCCCGACGACAGGACGCTCTACACGCTCGTCTCCCGGCGCCTGCCGCTCTACGTCGCCGCCGGCTGAGCCCCACGCATCACGGCTCGACCTTCAATCCTTCGACCGACGAATATGCCGCCAGTCAATACACGCATTTATTTGAATTTTACATTTTTTTTTGTTGCTTGTCCCCTTAAAAACAAAAACGGATGCAATTTTAAAACTGGCATCTGCCTACCCGGTTCATATGAAAGTGCTCTTGGCTTAGATTGCAATATAGGTACCTTCTGTTAATCTACTTTTACTCTACTGTTATTAATATTTTTAAGAGGATAGATAGGTATTTCGATTTTTTATTTCTTTGTGTTGAATAGGCTCCGAAACTACTGAACCGATTTTAAAATTCTTTCATCATTACAATCCTTAATTTTTTTCTGCTGAACATAGGCTATAAAAAAAGTTAGCAAAACAACTTCGAAAGTACTATAACAACACTACTAAAAATAGAACAGGATTACTAGCGCCACACCGTGGTGTTCGTCTGCACTACCAAAGATCACCATGCATAATGTAAGATTGTATCTAATATAGGACGCTCACCACTAGATGGCGGTAGGTTGCATCCAACTGTGATGTTCCGTTGGGAATCGCAGATAGATTGGGACTTCCGAAGGCGCATTACAAAAATATTTACCCGCGATTCCGCGAACAGGCTGATTAAAGTACACCTATAGCTACGCTTGTCAAGCGAAAAACCTCAACCACAAAATAGGACCTCAACTTTCAACAGATTATTTACTATCAAAATACTAAATGAGTCAAACAGAACATGGTTAGAAGTTAATAATATTATTATTGTGATTTGAAAGATAAGTTAGGACAACTTTTTATTAGGTCAGCTAGTAAACAATTATAAAATTAATAAAAAAGGCATTAGCATATAAACTTTATTAACTAAAGCTTATGATCACCTTCAATCATCTACAATAAGGTCCACTACATGTCTTTTAAACAGCGACGTAAATGCAAACAGTCTGCAGGCTCGCTGCTGAACTCAAAAGCTAATTCTATAAATTAAATTAATAACAAAACTACTACTATCCGAAAGATATGAGCCCGTTATAATAAATATTTTGCCAGGTGACATAATGGTGTTCATGAAACATAAAATACAATTAAAAATGTTGACCAAACTTAAGTATGTAACAATTTTAAACAAAATATGAGCTCAAATAGCAATCATCATCATATTTTTTGGATAAATAATTGGATATTTTGGACAGTAGGTACATAATTATATTGCTTCTTTGCACACTGTGGACATTGCAATTTACAAGTTATAAAAGTTTATAATAAAATAAGTACTTACTTTAGGTTCTAAGTAAAACAAATACTATAGTATTGAGTTGTGTCCTGTCCTATTACATTGTGTTTAGAATATAACCAGTCGCAAATTGTTGATTGCAAACAGCCAAAAAGCAATACATAATAATATTATTGCTTATGTTATACTACAGTCAGCGCGGCAACGTCGCAACACGTCTTTGTTACAATAAAATTGGAATAAGGTTGTGTTGACAACTTTTTTACCACTTTAGGTGTTACAAGCTATTTGATGCTGACTGTACCAGTACTACCAGTTAGGCCTGTGGTTAGGCTAAGACAATCTATTGCGTTGCATATTTCAATAAAATTTTAAGTTTGAAAGGAATATTTGGCACCGAGCTCTCTTTACCATACTTCCATTGAAGCTACATTGCAGAGCAGTCGGGTGTCACTTGTCGGCGGGCGTGTCGACGGTCCTGTCGGCGGGCTTGTCGGCGGCGAGCTTGTCGGCGGTAGGCTTGTCGGCGGCGGGCGCGTCGCCGGCGGCTTCGTCGAGCGCGGCCGCCAGCTCGTCGTCATCCTTGCCATACAGCTCCGGGTAGTGCGCCATGCACTCCTGCATCACGCTGAACTTCTCGTAGCAATCGCTACCTTTTGGCTCTGCGTCACTGGAAATAAATACAAAGCAATTACAAACAAATAAAAATAAAAAGCTTTTTTTACCACAAAACAATCAAAATCAAAATTTTCTTCATTTGTTTAGACTAATTAAATTAGTACTTGCAAATCGTCAAATGCTCTTAAGGAGCCTATACATGTCTCATTCTTTTTTTGCCCTACCAGCGCTTCGAGACAAACATTTGTCAAGTGCTGAGAAGAAGCGCCGCAACAAACTCAGTCACCACTGTCTGTCGGTTTAAAATGTTAGCTACATTAAATAAATTCATTAAAATTTTTGTGTTTTGCTAGGTGTTGTGGCATCCTGTATGGGCAAAGGCCTCCTCCATCTTGCTCCACTTTTGCCTGCCATATAATTTCTAATTTGTTATGACTTCTGGTCAGGTGCAACAAACACATGTCCAAAGAGTGCAGTGCAGATAGGTACATAAAGAAATAAAGCAGTTTCAAGAAAATCAATATTACTTACAAATGGTATGTGTGAATTAAAGTCATAAAATATCTTTTATTTATTTAAATAAAAATAAAAATTGGAATAAGAAAATAAACTGTACCTGTAGTGGAAGCATGAAAAAGCATCCCTGAATTGTGTGCCACAAGGTCCTGTGGCCATGCCTCCGAGGCAGGGGCAGCCCCAGTTGATGGATCCATCGGGCAGGATGAGGCCCGGGGCTGGCTCCGGTTCGGGCAGTGTGACCTTACTGGGTATGGCCAACTCCTCCCGCGAAGCCACAATCACCATATCCTTGCCGTCCGGACCGGACGATAACACTGAACGGTTTTCCATTCTCTGCAATATTTTTATAAATGATATGAGTCAATGTTCATTAAATTAAATAACAAACTAGAAGTATACAGGTAGAACAAACAATATTCTTCTTTAACTGGGTTCAGGTAAACCTCTAAATTTCACTCAACTAATGACACTCATATTAGTGATGCAATTCTGAGCCACATTATGCAATGAACAATCACATGAATCTAATCTATGATAAAATAATCATAGCAAGTTAGGTTCATCAATCCAAAATAATGTAGTAGCTAGAACCGTTGATATATTCAGCTGTTCTTTGACTAAATTCACCAAGGTTTCATTATTTATTCTATAGCTATAGGGGAAATTTTAATTGTTAGATAATAAGTACTAATTAATCTACTCCATCGCATTGTGGTAACCAGTAATATTAGAGATATGATTGTTGTTCATTAAATAAATAATTTATTACGCCCGGTAGACGAACAGGATGCGGCCTGCACGGCAGTAATTGTGCTGGCTTTCCGTTTCAGTACTCACTAAAGATCGGAGCGGCGGCGGTCGTCTACAGGAGCGCCTGCAGCGAGGAGGCCGCGCGCACGCGCAGCCGCCGCGGGCCCAGCGCCAGCGCCGCGCGCGCGCGCACCAGCTCGCGCGCCGTCACGCGCAGCAGCACGCGCGCGCCGCCGCGCAGCACGTCCGCCTGCGCGCCCTCCAGCAGCCGCCGCGCGCCCGCCGCGCCCAGCTCCTCGCCGCTGCACACAAGCACACGCTCAGCACGCCGCCGCCGCCCGCACGCACGCACCTGCAGATGATGCTTGATGATGATGCTTACAGCTCCACCTCCAAGTAGTAGTAGCGGGTCATCCGATGGCTCCGAAAGCGCCGACGAGCGGGATGTCCTCACGTTGCGCAGGAATCTTTTAGTGATTGCGGGCTTCGAATGACTTGACCGTACGCGTTGGCGGTAAAATAAACAAATATTTTGTTCTGAACGTAATTACTGTTTCTACTTTTTGAGGTTATGCTCGCTCGGACTGTGACAGTTGATTGACAGTTCAGTTAGTGACAGTGACGTATGTGGTGACGTTTAAAATACTTTTTTTTAATGCAAAGAAAATTAAAGATAGGTTTATGACCCAATAGATATTTTGATTTATTGCTACCATAAGCTTAGCCGTACAGTCAGTGTAATAATTGCTCTAAGGGACAGCCACAGATAATATATAATTTTTAATTGGCGGGTAGGAACTGTCAGGTATAATTTCTATTTATTAAATCGAACACTGTGTCGGTAATGAGGGCTATCATTTTTATACTTAACTTTACTCTACAGTGGCGCCATCTTGATGAGTGCAAATGCGATAGTCCTCCTACCACTTTAGCGCTCACCAGTTGGTGCCACTGTCTTCGCTACTAGCAAGTGACAGGACCTTACTCTACAGTGGCGCTAACTGGTAAGCGCTAAAACGATAGCCCTTTGACTTGACTTGGCTAATTTCCGCGCAGTGTAAAAGCAGCAACAGACTTGTTGCAGAAATAACTACATGCCTAGTTAAACAAATCGTTTCTTAAAACATAATAACTCACTTAAAATCATAAGTTTGTACATTAGGTAGGTAAGTAATATGATTGATTTATACATTTCGTGATATTCTTAATAATTTTATTAGAGTATTAATGAATGAAGTAGGCACTTAACCATTACCTAATCTGAATGGTTAACATAATATCAGCTTTTTTAAGGTAATTATTTCTCCTTTCAGAGCACAGCCATAGGCACAGGCGATGGCGCTGCTGCGGCCTGGCGCTGGCGGGCCCGCGCTGCAGCTGGGGTGCAGCAGCTGGGCGCTGGCGCATTATTTTATACTTCATTATCATAGAGGAATTAATGACTAATTCCTCTATGTTCATTATGTAAGTACGCCTGCAAAAATACTGTACAACTGACGTATGCCCTACACCCTACACCCTACCACTAGCCTCTTTTCTTTGTGATGTTTTTTTTGTTTGGCCATTCGCATCTTTGGAAAATCTCACACAGCGCCATATGCCTATTTAGCCCCAAAAAGTAAGCTATGCTTGTGTTATGGGTGCTATATCTTATCGGATAGTCAAACAACATTTTAAATGTAAAAACCGTACGTCGTCATTTAAGAAGAAATAGATAAAGTATAATAAAATATTAATTATTGTGGAAATAATATTTTTCCAATAAGTAGGTAATAAAAGTATTGTTGCGTGTAATTTCAGGTTCGAGTGGCACCGGGCGGGCCCAGGAGCCGCGGCGGAGATTCATGCGGCTTTCACCAAAAACATGAAGGGATAGGATTTTGACCGGTAAGTAGGACTCACTAAACTGACAATCAAACATGTTGAGATAACCTTATCATAAGGCGCCTTTTTACCCGACTGCGCCAGAAGGAGGATTATATTTTATACACTCGGCATCATCACATGATTGTGTCAGAAGAAAGTCTTTAAAGTTCGCGTCGCGGAAGGTGCGATTTATTTGATGTTAAGTATAGTATGTTAAACGGACATGACGTTATCAGAAGTGTCTACTGGACTTACATTTGATGGTATTAACGTGGAATACTGACGTTGCAGGTGCGAGAGCGGCGGGCGAGCAAGGCTGGGGAGCGACGGCGCAACACTCGGCAGACAACGTTTTCTGCTGGTAATTATAATTTTCTTAAACTTCCACCGTTATTGCACTTCAGTTATTATAAGAAACCGAGGACACTGGGGAGCTGATGTCCCATCCATCACATTGACAAGGGGGCGCCACCATCGTTTAACTAAAGTTTCCAACGTGGCAAAAATCGAAACCAGCGATCCGGTATTGACGGTGGCGCCCCCTTTCAATGTCACTGGTGGGACGTGCTGGATGTTTCAGTGTAGTTCATCTCTAACCCTAAGATTGATTTACAACCATAGGTAGATAGTAAGCGCACAAAAAGTGAGATGACTTTTACAGCACCATTCTGGTCCACTAGAAACTTTACATAGGTACTACCTACATAATATTATTATTGTTTCAAATAAAGATATAAGACCCTGTCTCAAATTTGTACCGGCCCTTTAATTTTATTAAAAAGTTTATTTTAAAAGATGTAATACATAATTAAACTGAAGTTGTTTTCAGTTCCAGCGAGCGGAACACCGGCCGACCACATCCGAGCGGCCGACGAGCGCGGCCCGAGCACTGCGACCGAGGCCGGAGGGCAGTGCGGCTAGCCGGCTACACTCATCATGTTTCAGTACCTCTAGCACGAAAAACTTTCGACTTCGATCGTTTGCGTATTCGAATCGCCATCTAAATATTCAGTATGAACGTGTCGTAAAGTGAACTTAGTATGAGAAATGGTTGCACGAAACTTATTTTGACAGTCAAAATTGTCACGTTATCGTTTAATTAGAAGGTTTCGAAGTTAGTCAAATACGCAAGCGATTCAAAAACGAAAATTGTTCATGCTAGAGGTACAGGTAAATACCTAAGTATTTATTTATTTAAGGGGAGCTGATGAACAATAGATATGTTACTGTAAAAGCTCGAACTACGGTTAATATTAAGATTTAAGTGTAAGTCTTAAGATTTACCGAGATGAGTTGGTAAATGTAAGTATTTCTGAAAATACGACGATTTTTTCGAGCTTTTACCATTCGAATTCAGTATATGCTAGGTTTTACCTCTGTCAGCTGGTAGATGTTGGTTTTAGGAGTAAAACAATGAGTAATGCTTAATTACTTACTTTCATCAACTATTAGACAAAACAGGTACATAGTATTATAAAGGTATCATGATAGTAATAAGTACAAACTAATACCAACTTATTTAAATTATTTGCAATCATTTCTTTTTCTTGTGTTTTGGTGTTCACATTTTTACTGTTTCCTTTTTTTATTCCTTCTGACTGACATTATAAACGATGCTGTTTTCGTAAAAGTTTACAGAACTTTTAATTAGTAAGATTATAAAAAAAATGATAATACCATGGAGTCCATGGAATCGGATAAAAATCGGAATTATAATAACCCAGCATTGATAGTAGCGCATACCTGTAAATATCATATCTAGGACACTGAAATTTTGTACTGCATGCATCCTACTAATATTATAAACGCGAAAGTTTGTGTGGATGTTTGTTACTCTTTCAAGCAAAAACTACTGAACTGATTTTGATGAAACTTTACAGTATTATTGTTTCTAACCCAGAATAACAAATTTTATAGGCTATAATTTATGGCGATCTGTGACAAATAAAATTACACGCGGGTGAAGCCGCGGGCAAAAACTAGTATTTTATATGACATGATCTTACGTTGCTAAAGAAAAAACAAGGCAGTGACATCATGGTTTGTTTAATTGTATTAAAATGAAAAGTGATGCCGTGGTCTTTCTTTTTAGTTCTTAAATTGTTCGTACATTTAAACAATATAAAAAGGCTGCGCTCGGGTAATGCGTAGATAGGACCGATTGTTACCTGTCAAAAATGCTTGTTTTATTTTTCAACATTTACCGTGCCATTAATGTAAATCCTAAGATTTACCAACGAAATGGTGGTAAGAGTTCGAATCGCAAACCTTTTGGGACATTTACCATTAGGAATTGGTAGATCTTAGGTTTTACTGGAATATCTTAGGATTTACTGCAATTCGAGCTTTTACAGTAACAGATACACTCAAAAAGCACAATTAGTGGACTTAATGCTTTACAACATTTTTTACTAGTCAAGCTTACAGATTAGGCGGGTTTCAATTTCAATATTAATTTAAAAAATAAATGAAATGGAGATAAAATTAAACTCAAGAGTCGAATGTATTATTGTTTCGTTCGATTAGAGATACTTGCTGTTTGTTCCCAACACATTTATTTTAGTTTGACTATGTACTTTATTCTATGAACATGAGAATCGATGAAAGTCGTAGTATTATAAAAATACTAGCTTTTGGCCGCGGCTTCACTGACGTAAAATTTAGTTTGTCACAGATCGTCATAAATTATAGCACATAATTATGTTATTCTGGATTATAAACAA